TTCTCGGCGTTCAATGTGATCGGCAGGTAAAGGGGTGCCCTGATTTCGCCGCGTATCTGAATTGCAGTGGCCCGGACGTTTTGCTTGTTTACAACGCATCGGTACGACGCGGCCGGAGTCTCCTGCCGAATTTGAAAGTAGACATTCATCACGACTTCTCGCGCCTGACGCCCAAAGGTGCCTTTGCGAAAGGACGTTTTGAAGCGACTTGGTGAGGAAAGCAGCGAAGCACAAGATTCGGCGATTACGGGAACGAAATCGCACAGAAAAACCGAGCGCTGCAGCTGTGTTGCCAGCGGATATACATGTTTTCACCAAACCACATGCATTTACATATATTAATAGAAACATAAACTTCAAAGATTTGATTCCTTTAGTTGCAAATCATTCTCAGCAGTACACATCTGGAACATTGTGCAGTTTTTACGCACAAAGCAGTTATTTTAAAAGAAATTACTTTTGTGAACTACTTTGTGGTGCGTAGGAATGCTCTTCTCGAAGTTGCGAACCGTCCCTCGGCCTTTGGCTGCGCTCGGACGGAAGCTGAAACGAAGTATAGATTATGTCTCAATTCAACGGATGAAGTGGAAAATTCGTTCCGCGAGGAGCAGGACTTCGTTTTACTAGGGTTCTTGAAGTGAACGCGAGTATAGACCTTTTTCACAAGGGTGCCGCCATCTTGAAATATCGGCACTTCCAGTATGGGTGAAAACATTGTTTTGCCGTCGCCACGCCAATAGAATGCATTTAGGAGATAAGCGTAACCGTCACCCATTCTCGTTTTGTCTCCCCTCTATTTTTTTTTTACTATTTGCAGGTTGAAGCGTTTTAATATTTTTTCGTCGCCCATACCGGATGGGCCTTCTTGGCAGCCGGGGGCGAGAGTAAGCGGAAAAGGTCTATAGGATAGTTTACACTTCGAGTTGTGGCTGTGAGTTTTCGCGTTGTTTATAGTGTATTCGAAACCGGGAACGTGGGGGAGGCGAGGGGGCTTCGGCTCGTGCGTTTGTTTCAAATGGTTCGATTTTTTTTATGCAAACGCACGCGCGATGCTACAGACGTTATTATCATCACCACCATCATCATCTCACTCTCCCGGCACCGATCGTGATATTTTTCAAACGTTTGCGCAGAAATTGGGAAGAAATAAGATTACATTTTAACACATTTTAATTTGACAGTACTTACATTAAACTGAACTGAGGGTTTCAAAATAATTCTTCACAAAGTCACGGCGTGGGAGCAGCAAAAAACAAACCTTTTGTTGCTGCATCTTAGGGCTTTATAAGCCGGGAGCTTATCCCGGCTTATTCATCTCCAAGATGCAGCAACAAAAGGGGTCCCTGCTCTGTCAAGATTGCAGTGGGAGAGGGGGAAATGGGAAGGGTGACGAGGAGGATTTTAATACCCTGCGGAAAACCTTTTTGTAGGTCGGGCTTTGAGCATGAACATGAGACATGAGCGATGAAATCGGTTGCCGCGCGGCAGCACACGGCAGTATCCATGGCAACCGGTTCTCGCTTCTCTACTTCACTGTGACGTATGCGCCTCGCGGCGCGGATCCGCTTTGATCTGGTCGGTCCAGACATCTGCGCACGGTGCACCTAGCGGTGTGCGGCGGAAAAGCAAACATGACGACCGTTTGTTTGGTCTGTTGGGTTTGTGTTCGGTGCTGTGTGCGGTTCGAACGCTCTCATCAGAATGTTCTAGTCGTCTGCGACGTTATTCGAAGTCCCATGCGTGACGCGGAAGGTGTTGTGAAATCACCATTTCCACAAGCAACAGGCGAATCTTCACAAACAACAACGACGGTGCCGAGAAGCGTGGGTTTGTGGTTTAAGTTCAAGATGGGAATCTGTTTGCCGGAATGTTACTGCCGCAGCCGACGAAGGAGTTAACACGAGGGTTTGTAGAAAGAATGCCGAGACTGTGCACTTTGTATCGGAGAGACCTTTGACATCGTCAGGTTGGTCGAGCCAGCCATTGGGTGCCGCCGGGAGATGAAGAAACGTGTTGATTGTTTCGGAATTTGTCTGCTGGGTTAGTATTTTGGACTGCGTTGGTAGGTCTTTACTCCAATGCATATTGTTCTTATGATGCTCGGACAGAACGCATTGTCACTGTTCATGTCAATGTCGCGGTCATAACACCTGATAATTATTTCATTCCGGGTGCGACTTCCTTGGCATAAAGTCAATAAAACCTCTGTGTGTACTTTCGAACGAAAGCGCCCAACTGTCTCGTGAAAACTGGTCGCGTCTCATACAAGCGATTCCCGCTAGCCTTGTGTATTCAATCTGTGCCTCTATGTCTAGATTCTCTAGAACTTTCTAGTGGCGTTCAGGGGTCCGTATATGTTCTGCTGTATGTTTTCTTGAGGACTGACACGCCGTGCGTCTCCAGTTGTCTTAGCGAAGTTGGACACTTTGCATTTGAATTTTTGAAGGAATGTCTATACAGTTAACGCAATTATTCATTAAAAGGATTTCGGTATTTTTTTTTCTAATTTCTATTTCAGCTTGATCGGGTAGAAAAGAAAAGCAAATACGGCGTTGTTAGTGTTGTGAACATACCTTTTTCGGTAATGTTTTCTTCGACATTATTACTTTAATGGTAATATATTGGTAGCACAAGAACGTATGCGCCGGTTTTACTAGTTTTATTTTTAATTTGAATACTTCTAATTTACGTTTTGGGCAAAATAGTGCGTTTTAAAGCGAAGTACTGCCAGTAGCTCTACGTTCGGTGCCAATTGTGACCCAGCAACTGTGTGCGTCGCGCGACCACTGGGCACGCAGTCAGGATTTTGTTTCGGAGGAGGGGGGGGGGGGGGGGGGGGGGGGGGGGGGCAGGGTGGCCCCAGCGAAATGGAAGATTTCGGGGGAAACCCGGGCCCCAAGCCCGCCCCCCCCCCCCCCCCCCCCCCCCCTTCCCCCCTGGATACGTGCCTGGCTGGATTTCGCTTCCCCGCTCTGTGAATGCAGCCATCGGATGGCCATCTTGGGACACGAAAAATCGACCTTTTGGTCGATTTTTCGTGTCCCGAGATGGCCGTCCGGTGGCCGCACTTGCGCTGCAGCGACCAAGCGGGGATGCGCGATCCAGCAAAAATTGTCAAAGAGATCAGTGAGCGCGACGGGCTTTTTCGTGTATCCACAAATATCGCCGCGTGTCGCCAGGTGGCGCGTCATGCAGTGCGCCGAGCGGCGCCCAGTTTCACTGCTCATGTTTCCCCCGCTTTAGCGCGGGCACGGCCACGCGCCTCGCGGCCTTGAAACCGTGTGGGCGAAAAAGGTCGGTTTTTCGAGCTCCTAGGGTGCCTCGATGTCAGCGCCGCCTTGCACGTTTATCGAGGCACCTTACGAGCTCCTGTCATGCTGCGCCATCTCATGGCGTTTGTCAGAAATGGGAGCGCATCTTTGACACATTTGCTACTTGGAGAGGCGGCGCCGTTCAGACACTTCTTTCTTCTTTCACCGTGGTCCAAATCATTAAGTTTTTGAGTACTCATTTATTGTGAAAACAAATGAGGAGTGGAATAGATCTAGAACGGCCGACCTTTTTCTCGGAATCAATAATTCAGCAAGTCTGAATAATTGCTACTTGATTTGTATGATGGTTGCATTTGTGCTAGTTCGTAGCTGTACAGTTCTTCTTTTCTCGCTCTTGTATCGTTAAAACAATAAAAACGCACTCCTGAGACAGCCCCAGCCCGCAACAAGGGACATCAGTATTAAAAATAAATAAATAAATAAATAAATAAATAAATAAATAAATAAATAATACATTTTTCCCGAGCGGAGTGGAGTGGCCGTTCAGCAGACGCTTCGTGGCCCCGCTGATAGCAGTGACCGGCGACCAATGCAGGCAGTCTCTATCGTGAGAAAGTACACGGCGGTGCGGCGAGATCAGGTGCGTGTTTGAGTTTTCTCGCCGTGCTTTTCAATGGGCGGTTTGCGAACAAAAAGTGTATGAAATAAGGACTAACGCGTATACCACTCTAAAAAAAGCCCATGTGTGTACTTTCTCGCACAACACTCGGAGAGCCAATCACCGCAACTTACGAAGGCAGCTCAGCGAATGACGATGCCGAAACATATGCTTAGACCATAAAACGCAGTCTGAGTTGTGACATTAAGCAGTGCCAAACGTCCCGCTCGCATTGCTTAATGTGACAGCTCGGACTGCGTTTTTTTGGTCTAAACATATGTTTCGTCATCGTCATTCGCTGAGCTGCGGTGATTAGATCTCCGAGCGTTGTGCGGGAAAGTAGACACACGGGCTTTTTTTAGAGTGCACGACTGATTCTCTCCAGCGCCTAAAATTGGGACAGGCCTTACACAAAAAATATATTTTCTTAACCATTCCTGCGGCCATTTTTTTTCTTTTCTGAAACAACATGGGTTTTATGTGTCAAACTTTTGAAAAATTGCCCAGAGCTGACAGCGTTCTAGATATATGTACATTTTGGTCAGCTGGTCCTCATGGACAGTAGTGTCGAGCGCAACGCTGATCTGCTCGTCTGCAGTAACGTTCTAGGGCACTTGGAGGCACGGGTAACGCCCTTAGCCACGACTATGTACACACGAACATTTGTCGGGACGGACGAATTTGACCTTATCGGCGAGTGGTCGAAGTGCGCACGTGCATCTCAGTTCATCCATAACGCATATATCCGGATCCTCTGACTACCCGGTTTTATCCGGTACTTTCCGGAGGTACACCGCAAGCGTCTCGATGAACAAGCGACGGTTTTGTCAAATTTTTGAAGATGAACCCGGAGAACAAGTTAGCATCGACATAATTTGACCTGGGTTTCCTCCCGTTCACTTCTTCCTCGGAGTATACGGGTGTTCTTCTGTGTTGCTTCTTCTAAGCTGAACTAAATAAATCTGCCGCAGCGAAGGCAACGATAGGAGGCATTACGTGACATCACTAAAAAGATGGAAATGGCAGAATTTTAAACTCTTCCGATTTATCTTGTCAACAAATAGGCATAATCTTTGAATTGGACCCATGTGTAAATGTAACATTTCCGGGAGTGCCTGGAATTGATTTTGTCTTTAACTGAGACCATTTAGTTTTTACGTTCCGAGGCCCGAAAGGAAGTGCAATTTCACTGAGCATACGTAACGGTTTGAGAGTCAATGCGCCTTAGATTGCCAAAAATAGCATATTGTGTGGATAAAGGATAGAAGACGAGCCGCACGTAGCTACAGTTCTAGCTTTTCCGATGTGGATTCAACCATGAGAACTACCCCAGTCACTCGGGTGGACATGATGCCCAGTCTGGCCCAGTGTCTCCCGACCAGGGGGACGCGCCGTCCGGCCCCGCGCTCCTCGCCAGTGTTAAACACTGTGTGGAGCAGGCCGCCGCCTGATTAAAAGGGTTCAGCCGTATGCATGCATCCATCCATTCACCGCGTAATGTGTGCGACGACGTGGCACGTGGCCCAAGCATGACCGCGAACGTGGTCCCTCCGCGAGTGCCGCGGGTTCGCGCTTCCGCACACGCGGTCAGCGTAGCACTTCCGCTGAACGCTCGCCTGCAAGCCGTCTGCACGGCCAAAGGATAACAATAGCAGCGAAGAGTCAGATGGGCGTGTCGGCGTGATCACAGAGCAGACTCTGTCTTCTGAGGAACTCTTCGTGAAGTCCCAGCTTGGTGAAGTTGTTCTTGATGGGGTGCGGCGACCCCTTCTGCGTCCGCCCGGACAGTTCGGTTGTCTGGCGTGACGTGCTACTGTTGTCCTTGCCGCGCAGAAGCCGATTGTTGGGCGTCGTGTGGCAAGACGAGGTGTAGCGGAGCACCCTTCCCGTGCACACGCCGCGTGTGGACAGCAGGATGGACAAGTCTCGCCGGTACTGCTTGGTCAGGATGGCGTACAGGAACGGGTTGGCACACGAGTTTAGCGGGTAGAAGAACACCAGCAGAATCTTGGATTTCGGGACATCGATGAGTGGGTATCCCGCCACTGCTGTGAGGCCGAAGAAGGCGATGGGCGCCCAGCAAGCGAAATCGGTGAACACGAGCATGGCCATGCGTTTGGCCACGGACGTGTCTTTGTTGCCCGAGTGGGAGCGTGGCCGCTGACCAGAAATGGCCAGGTACATCTTGGCGTAGCAGGCGCAGATGAGCAGGAAAGCGAGACCGTTGACAGAGAGCAGGCTGAGCAGGTACAGCTGATCCGGGATCTCTCTGTTCTCCATGGGCAAGCAGATGGACGTCTTGCTGTAACTGCTGACCCCGACGAGCGGCAGGGTGGCCGCTACGATGGCATATAGCCAGCCGCAGGCCATGACGCGCGCAGCGGTGGTCAGCCGCAGCCGCCGGTTCAGGTGGACCGCGTACGTGATGGCGTACCAGCGCTCCAGAGTGATGACGGTCAGCGTGTAGATGGACAGCTCAGACGCGAACACGGTCAGGAAGCCCGCGACCTTGCAGCCAGCACCTGCGACAAAGCAGAGAATTCATCAATGACTCCCTGCGTTGGTATGCCCGGCCATGCTTATGGCGGTGTGTTTCGCGGGAACCAAGTCGCAAAGTCGTGTGTTCGATTGTAATTATAAACATACATTTGAAGGGCTAAATCCAATATTGTAGAAACTGGCTGCCAGCACATAAGATCAGCATCAAGATGAATCAAACGTAAGTAACTGTGTTGTGTGGGTGTTTAGACAGCGTGAAGTATACTCAGCCGCAATGGGTGTCCGGCGTCCCCGCCTTGGATGAGACATTTAGTCAGTGAAGTATATACACTGCTGGCATTGTGGGGCTTTTAATGCGCATTATGCAGTAGTGATACACGACCGCACGCCGGTACAATGCAGATTGAAACGGGATTGAGCCCAGGATCCCTGAGTTCTGCAGCGCGAGCTTTCGTTCCTCGTGCTCGTACCGAGCTGCAGTGCGTTAAGACGCTACGTGCTCCGATCTCCCCGGTTCGAAAGGCGAAAAGCGACCGGCAGCCACGCGAGCTGACACAGCCGTGTGTGCCAGCCGCAGGGAGTAAGATGCCACAAGGGGTATACTTTTCTGCACAAGGCAACTCTAGGGAACGTGGCAGTCCATTTCAACCTCCCTTTTAACATCCTATAGCGCATCCCAGGTGTTTTTGCTCCTCCGACCTGAACGTCGCTGTGTCAGCTCACATTGACGCCCCCTGTACACATTTAAACCCGCGCACGCTGGGTTACCCGCGGAAGGTCCAGAATCAAGGGAGGGTCCTTATGTGAAATCTGCACCCTCACATATTGCCAAGTGTTGATAGACATATACTCAAACCGAACAATCGAACGTCTTCGTGCCAGTGCTTCTTTCCTGCTTTTCGAGGGTTTTCTGCGTGACTCGTTCCTCAAACCGACAATACTAGGCAGCACAGGGTGAGCCATTCGCCTGCAGGGTCCAACCACACCTTCGTTTCGAGTCCGATCGCATGGCGATGATCCCATTCCACTAAAAGTGCACCGTCACGGCGCTCGTCGCCTTTGTGCGTCTGCAGTCACCGAGTAAACCTATCACTGAATGCGCCGCGATCCTTTTCTTTCTGCGCGTGATTGATTGGATCAGCTGGCTAATGGACTGAGCATGTAAATTATTTTATTCAATGATGGGCTACGTTGCAATCGCAGTTTTAAAGGCAGTCATAATTAAGGTTGAAACAATTTATTGCATTTACAAAGGTGATATGATTTGTGATAATAATCGCTCATTTTTTGCTTGTCGCCCGATTCCGTAATTGGAAGCAGATAGGAAGAGAGAGAGAGATAGCGCCGCAAGTCCTACAAACGTGGATCCGTAGAAGGATGACGTGCTCGTGATGGGCACCTCGCCTTGACCTCAACAGCGCGTGCCATATGGAGAGACTTTGGCCACGTGCTGCAAGGTTCCCGGAGGAGCGCTGCATGAGAAGCGTGCGTGCTGAAGACAGATTCAGCGACTGTGATTTTTGAGAACTGCGGTTTTGTAATCGCTGCCAACTGTGCCGCTTCGTAGGTACGAAGCCGTGAAAGGTGTGCACCCGCCGGCGATATGAAGGTGAACGCCGAACCGTCGACCGATCCGTGCTATCAGCTATCAGCGCGAGAATTGCGGAAGGAGCCTTTCGGACGCCATCGGAAGACAATGTAAATTAGTAGTTTTTTTTTTTGTGATATGTGCTAAACCGCAAGGCTGTGGAACAAATCAAAAAGTGACTTATACTTTACGTTTCTTAAAAAGAACAGTTATTAGCGTTCGCTCATGAATAAAAAAAGCGGTTGAGTCACTGATAAACTATGCCGAACAACCTCAGCTCTAGTTCACGTGCAATGTACAAATCATTTGCCGGCAATGACGGGGGCACGGTGCCCACAAAAAGCGATGCCGAAATCGAGACCCACTTCCACGCTTTCTGCGGGGAGTAGCAGCAGAGCTGAGGACAGCGCTTGATCCAGGCGCTTAAAGGAGCTGTGCAACGATATTCAATTGGAATGTTTTTCTCTCTACACTAGCTTACTGGCACACCTCGGACTCAAGGATACTCACACGCAACACCATTGGCCAAGAAACTCCTTTGTTGTGGTGTAATTTCAAGGACAAAAGCGATCATTTTCATTCAATCTCTCCTTTGCAAAATTTGATGACGTAACTCGGGGATCGCAGTACACCCAAGTGACGATATTTGAATGCGGTTCACAGATTGGACCCGAGCATTGCGTGGGCACTCGACTTGGGCTCGTGACAATTGCTAGCTCGAGAAGCATTCGGGTTGTGACCCGTGTCCAATCGCTGCAACGACGACAACAGCCGAGCCATAACAATGTCTGGAACTCAGCGCGTGTCCTGCGCTTTGCCAACCCCTGCGCGTGGCTATGATCAACACTGGCGGCATATAATCGGCTCCAGATCACGTGGCCGCTTGTTCTGGCTGCGAGTTGAGGGGGTGAACGCCGCTCGTTTTTCTTAAATTTTTTTCTGGGACTTCTATTGCGTGGGGTGAAAAACGAACGCGTGTTTCATAGGTCATTAACGTTAGGGATCCGATTTAAGCGGTATTTGTGCACAGTACAAAAATTGTTGCATCGCTCCTTTAAACTCGGCAAAGTGCGCGATAAGAAAGCGAGCCGCCACGGCAGCCGCGTCATGGCGCTGATAGCACGAACCAGTCGACGGTCCGGCGTTCACCTTCATATCGCCGGCGAGTGTACAAAGAACTGCTGGGAAAAAAATCTTCACAAAATGCAAAGCAACGTTCATTCTAAGAAATACCTGCGCGTCTACTTACCCGCAAAACACTCAAAGAGCCAACCTCTGCGATCTAGGAAATCAGCTCAGCGAATGATGGGCCGGAACATTCGTTTCGGACTTAAAAATGAAGTCTGCGCTGTGGCATTACGCAATGCAAAACGTCATGCTTCCATTGCGTAATGCCACAGCGCAGACTTCATTTTGAGGTCGAAACAGATGTTCCACTTCATCATTCGCTGAGCTGATTTCATCGATCGCAGAGATTGGCTCTTCGAGTGTTTTGCGGGTAAGTAGACGCGCAGGCATTCCTTAGAGTGTAGAAACGGGCTAAGCGTCAACATTGCGGCAATGGCGCACTGCCATCGTTCCCATCGATTTTTGGAGTAATTTCTTGCTCTGCATTTGTATCGTCAAAGCTTTTTTTTTTTTTTGTGTGTGTGTCTACATCTCGCGAGAGTTTAATTGATTGCATTTTTTTTGGTGATGTTGCACTTTATACTTTTTGCTTGGTTGTTTTTTCTTTGTCGAAATTACTGAATATATTTTTTATTTATATTTTTTCGTCTTTCAGCTGCTTTGTCTGTTCCCCTTATTTTTTACACACACTCAGATGCATACACATATACACACTTATACGTATAACATATATTCCGAGAGAGGAAATAAATGAGGTCTTGTTCTCGAAATACAGATTTCACCACTGCTACCCAATTTTCCAGTCAGAGAAAGCGTACCTGAACAGTAACACACAAGAGGAAAAACAATTAAATAAGTTCGCGTAATGCTTTCGGAGATTTGTAATGTAATAGCACTAGTGCGGAAAATAATTTTAATTGGTGTCGGTAGCCTTTTTCCTTGCCCAAGTTCAGAGAGGGAACCGCTTATGCAGATACGCGGTGCCCTCTTTGAACTTGCGCAATTAAGTGTTCTATAAACCCCCGTCATACGGGCACGTTTAAGGTCTTCAGAACGAACTGCTTTAGAGAATCGGCGAACCATCTCGCGATTTGGTTTTATTTTTTTTGTTGAGCCTCCAATGTTAGTGGAAGTGCATGACGTGGGGTCATTTTCATTACTTTTCTGTTTTCAAACAATTAATTACATATAGTATTTCTTTTTGTTTGTTAACGGTTCTGTGTGCTTTGCCTCTGCTGCTGCTAAGGGGAAATAGAGACCTGTCAAGTAACTGTTCTGTTGCTTTTTTCTCCGTTTTCCCTCCAAGTGGAGAAAAAAAATTGATTTGATTGGGATTTCTTGATCTTGCTCCTATCGGCGTGCGCTAATTGGCTGATAAAAGGAACTGCATTTAGATAAAGGAAACTTCACTCAGATATCTGGAACAGACCTATTATAAGAATGACATTTAATTATTTTGCATTACTTAAAAAAACAGTTTTTTTTTCGGTTAAACAGAACTTATCGCAGCCTCAGTAAGGAAACTTTCGGGGTGCAACGAAGAACGCCAAGCATTTCTATACCCGACGAATTGGAGCGACCTGTTAAGTTACAGTGATAAAAGGAAAGGAACATAAAAGGACAATGATGGTGGCCCGTCTCCATGTCGATTTCCTTTTATCCCTGTTTCTCATTAAAGGGATGCTGAACCGAAATCTGGATTCCCCAAAACACGCGGCAAAAGCGTGCAACGGGATGCTACAAACACCAAAACATCACTCATACAGCGATATCTCGAACGAATGACCGTATTTTTTTAAAAAAAGAGGCGCATTTGGCAGGAATGTTGACGTCATGTTTCTCCGAGAAGGAGAGGGAACGGCCTCGCGTCTTCTCCGCCTCGCGGCCTTGAGGGAGCGAAGCGAAACGAGGAGGAAACTAGGTATCTTGACGTCACGCGCCTCGTCGGCCTGATTCAATCTCGACTTCTTTTTCCAAAAACACGGCCCTCCATTTGAAATATCGCCTTACGAATGTTGTTCTAGGGATTGTAGCGTCCCGCCTACATCTTCAGCTTAGTTTTTTTGAAATCCAAATTTCGGTTCACCATCTCTTTAAGCGCTTTATTTTAAATGGGCCGTACGACGCTATCGGGTAGCAGTGTTCCTCACTCTACACAAGCTTACTGAGACAATAGTGACCCCCAAGCATACTCGGACACGTGCGCCGCGGACCGAGAAGCAATTCTTTGTCATCGCGTAATTGCAACATCGGAAAACTTGATGGCGAAGTTGGGGGGAATCGCATTGTTGGTGTTGTCAATCGAGAGATACTCAGGGCTCCGCCATCAAGCTCTGCGATCCCCGAGGTGACGATATTTCACTGCGGCTCGTACAGTTAGACGCGAGCACTGCGTGAGCATCAATTGATCCGGGCTCGTCGGACAATCAACGCATCGACGTGCATTTGAGTTCTCGTGCCCAATCGCTGCGACGACGGGAATGGCCGAGCCTCGACAACGTGCGGAACTCGGCGCGTGATTGGTTTAGCTGAGTTGTACACGTTACTAATATATATATATATATATATATATATATATATATATATATATATATTTTTTTTTTAGTATCGTGTACAAGAAAAATGAGTCGTTTACAATATATATATATATATATATATATATATATATATATATATATATATATATATATATATATATATATATATATATATATATATATATATATATATATATATTGTAAACGATTCATTTTTTGCGGGCTCCATAGCCCGCAAATAATCAATAAATACAACAGTAGCTCCACCCTGTTCTATTTATTGATTATTTAAATTTTATTATAGGCGGCAAGCTACATTGGAGGAGTTCAAAAGAGAAAGCAACACTTCTAAACAGACCATGCAGGCGTCGTAAATTTTTAATGTGTAGAAATCGGCAGACGTCGTATTGATTCGGGGCCTTCATTGGCCTATATGAACGTCCCGCGCTTTCGGAACCAGCAGATGACCACGACCTTTCGCGCTCGTTGTGTTAGATAGGACGGCCCGTGACAGTAACGCGAGCAGCGCGCCCTGTGTCACGAGGAGTGAAATGGTACGAATGTGTCGTTGACGCGGCGAACATCTCTCTCCGCGGAGATCCGATAGCACCGAAGGGTTATCTCTTTTGGAAACAGCAAAGCCCGGAGTCTGACATTAAAAATGAGCGGGGATGATAAATTTTTTTTCTGCTCATTACCATTCATAGCGAATTCCTGATAATCGGAAATTAGCTGTTGACCAAAGCAGTTAGTTGCCACTGAGTTTGGTTCTGTATTTTGGCAGATTTTAATAACAGTGGCCAAAAAAAGGATTGACTTTTTGGTCAAAAACACAAGTTTAAAATACAGAAGCCGTCGCATAATTTATAAATATATATTTTTCAATCAATAAATGTAACAGAGATTTCGCTGTGGAGACTTCAAATTGAACATTTCCAGATAAAAAGCTTGTATCAAGCCAGCATAGTTAGTTACTGAAGTTTTTAATTTTTCCATTCTTTAAATACATAAGTTTTAGAACATAACGTTTACTGGATCAAAAATAAAAAAATAAAAACGAAAATTTCCCGTGTTCCAAGTAACAATATTGCTGGTAATGAAGCATTATTTCAGTAAAAAAAAGCTTCTGAATTCCTTTCTTTCTCGCAACCTGTTTGGTTCGAAAAAAAAACAAAAAACACTCCAATTGTCTTTTCATCCGGGCAAAGTCATGTCCCCATACTTGCGCATTCGACCACCATCGCTAGCATCATATACAAGCAGGGTTTCGGCTTTATGTAACACGTCGTTTACTCATCAGGGGCAATAGAGATTTTCTCCTTTCTGATTGAGCTGTGCCTATAAAAAAACACACAAAACAACAACAACAACAACATAAGGTCACACCCCAGAAAGCAATCTAAAACAGCAAAAAACTTTCGACAACCTATAAAGTTGATCTCTTTTATTCATAGAATTTCAATGGTATACAATCGATATTTTTTAATCGTTTACTGTTAATGGTTTCAAAAGGGGATTTCTACCGTTTTCTGATTGGTTTGAAATTGTTCCTCGATAATTATGCGGAAGTCCCTAATTACAGTTGCGTTTTTCTCAGAGCTACACGACGTTTCCTGGTTAGACACAGGACGTTCTTCGTCACATAATAAAACACTATCGAGAGCTTTACGATTGTTGGCTCTTGATAGTTTCTCGAAAATCGACTATAAACAATTTCAGGTTTTTCGGCTATTGGTAGTATATGCTATCGAGTTTCATGATAGTCGACCATTTATACTATACTATCGATAGTTTTACGATAGTCAACTATCGATAGTATACAATCTATAGTTTTACAATTGTTAACTATCGATTATATACTATCGATAGTATTATCGAAAGTTTTACGATAGTCGACTATCGATAGCACTATCGATAGTTTGTTTTACAGTCGATAGGCAAATTTGACTTTTACTATCGATAGTTTTACACCACTAGTCATGCACGGCCGGCGGAAGCAGGAGGCAGAGAAGCGTCATTCCGTAAGGGCGCTTGGGGAACTGCTGTCTGCCGACCTCCGCCGTGCCACAAGGATGGCACCCGCCAGGCACTCTCGTTTCTCTTGTGTTTGCGCAACTGCAGCACCCCATGTCGTCTCTTCGTCTGCCACGCACTGGCTCGTTCGCGCTAATCTCGTCTAGTGCCAGGCGACTTATTAGGGTGTCAGGAGACTACCCAATCAATATTTTGCTGCAGAGTAACGTATATCTTTAGAGAGGCACGGAAGCGAAATTTTAGGTTATTTGTGTAGACGTGGTGTCCTTTATGAGAGCAGCTCACAAGCACCAGTCATTCGTCCATAAACGCAAGAAAAGCAATTTTAAACGAATATAACGATTTCCCAATACCACCTGGTAGTTGGGGGGCCGAGCTTCGTTGGAATGTCTCCCGTGACGGTTCCATGGGGAGCAGCGCCACGGCGCGGCGTGTCCGGTGGAGGCGCGCGGGAACGAGCGGCGCTTGGCACACCTCTCAGTTCTAGTACACCATAGCTCGGGCGCTCCCACTTGGCGGGATTGTAACGCGTTGACGATAAAGCTCTTGCCAACTAGTGACGACGATCGTAATTACGGTACCCTTGGCAGTGTATGGGCTCCTTATGTTGCGAGCGTGACTTTATGGGCAAATATCCCGAGACGCATCGCGCCGCCTCGATGGCTAATTATAAAGCGCTCGCCAGAATTCATGGGTTGGAACGAAAAATATAGCCATCCGCTGAACGTACAAGCGTGTGATTATCCTTTACTTATATCATGGGTCATATTTCACTCGTTTCGAAGTGTTCCGGGGATATTCCAGGTTTTCATTTTGTGCCCTTAAATATATATAAAAAAAAGACCAAACTGCTTGAAACCGAAATTGAAACACGAGCACGGAAGCTCATGGCCGGAGGTCACGTGGCTACACCTGACCGCGCTGTTTTTTCTCCGCTTCTCCGGCGTGTGAAGCAGACGACGACAGCGAGGATGTTGCGTGAACTGTTTGTCGTGCATGCGATGGTTTCGCACTTATATCCCCCTTCTCCTAAATGTTCTGAGCTTGACGATCGATTAGCCGGTACCACGAACGATAGTTTCGAAGTAGCGGCCCCACGTCCGTCGCAATGTTGGTCCGTCGTGCGCCGCCATCGTGTCGTCTAGCCCGCGGTACGTCGCCATATTCGCAATGACGTGCACATGCATACTTCCTATGATCTGTAAAACATTTTTGTTTCGGTCAACGTATTTGCAGCTTTTTTGGAGGCCACAAAAATGAGGTTCGTATTCCTTTCCGTGTGCCTTAGATGATCCACGACTTTGAATGTATTTTGTACACATAGGTTGAACGCCACGTGACCACGGAGAAAAAAAGAGTGAGCGAACTTTCGACAGGCTGTTTTCGGGTGGAAAGAAAACGAATTTCGAGCCGCAAATTGTTATGAGTAGTTGGGCGAGTATAAATCTCGGCGAGTATAAATATCCTGTCAGTGTCCCTTTAAGACCATTCGAGACAGCGTTGGTGCAGTCGAACAACGTGGTGCTTAGAACGGAAACCAAGCGAAGGACAGGAAAAAGCAATAGATCTTCAGCAAAGCGTGCAGTTCCGTCCGCGGCGCCGAAAAGTATGCCGGGAACTCAAGGTACAACCGGTTGTAGCGGACGACATAGTCGACCCTGGAGGCGACGGCGAGCGGGCTAGGGCAGGCGAGCAACTGCGTTACCCTCTAGCTTTCTTGAGGACTTAGCGCGCGGCCTTTTGGGATTTCTGCAAAAGGTCTGTTGACCTCGCGTAAGATTTGGACACCGGGGCCACTTCCCCTGCTCTTCCTGTAACCTGACGCGGCCCGCCGTCCCCTTGTTTGATCACTGGACCGTACCGTGTTGCCAGAGGATGGCGTGGTTGAAGTACTGGCCGCTGGTGTGCAGGTCCTCGGCCGCTATGAGCAGCAAGTAAGCGCCCATGCAGAGATCGGCGAACGCCAGGTTGCACATGAGGAATTTGGAGACGCTCATGCGGCCGCTAAGAAGCACCAGGATGACCGCCAGGTTTCCGGTCACAGCCGCCACGACCACGAACCAGACGGCTACGCGCAGGATCTCCGTGCCCATGACGTCTTCGCAGGGATTGAAGGCGTCCGGCGCAGGGAAGCACTGCACTTGCCGACTCGCCAACTTCCCGCAGGTGACCTGTGTTTCAGGTAGGGCTGTGAAGTTAACCTATTAACCATACCGATTAAGCAATTACCGCGCGAAGCGTCAACTAACTCGTTAACCGACAGTGGCGTCAAAGTGTTCGGGAGATTGGTGTGTGTGTGTGTGTGGGGGGGGGGGGGGGGGGATTTCTGGGATTTCAGGGATTTCTGGGATTTCACGACAAGTGAGCCTCGCCACGACATATCGGAGTGGTCGCTTTTGTGAACACAGACGTTGGTTAACAAGTAGCACACCGAATTTTAACCAACCTTACGATATGCACTTTAGCGAAAATTCTGCTTTAACGCAAAATGTGTTTATGGGCCGTATTTCATGTGAAAAGCGTTACACATGAGTGTCATGAAAAGCCATTGCACAGGCAACATAAAGCATACGCAGTCTATAGGAGCCAATGCATAGACATACAAAGCTTAAAGAATATTTAGCCATGAATATATATCTAATCATAATGAGCGAGCTTTACAAAACGGAGTAGCAGGAATCGAACCATGGACCTTGCGATTCGCAAACAGACGCCACTGCTCGGCGACACCAGGAGAAGGCGAGCGGGTATGCGAGCTGCGGGACTAAATTTGCAAAGGTCGACTGTGGGCGTATGTGAATGGCTTCCGAATGACGAAGCATAGCTCCCCACGTCGTCGTCTCACGACGTCAGGAGTCGTAAGTAAATTTAAACTTGACTCGATCATTTCGATAAACCGGAAATGCACGAGTGTGTCACACATCTGAAACCGCCCAAAAAGACTCCCTGACCAATCATAACAAATCATAACGCTCGTATTATGCATTCACGATACGCTCTGTGCTCTCCGCATTTTATCAGAATGATAAAAACTAGTTTAATATTTTTTTAATCTTTTTTTATTTTCACTATTGAACTCAAATTTGAAGTTCGAGCATTCACAAGGTTTGTTTGCTCAAATTAATTTTCTCCATTGCACCGGAGCACGAGTTTCTCAGTACGTGCTGAATGGACTACAGCATGTTTGCTAACGCTTTGAACCCACCTTAGATGGTTCGCAAAAATCGGCTTCTCAACTTATCGCGCTGCGACTACAAAAAACAATTGTTCTTTTTTTTATTAATCGAGACAGCTTTCTGGTGTAGAAGTGGAAAAATCGGGTAAATTATCTCCCCATCAAGATATAGACCAGTATCTGCTCAGTTCCATGGTCGCCGCCATGCTTATTTCTGCTGACGCCATGACACAGTAGGGGGTAATAATTGAAAACGATCGTGTTGGTGAATTAAATACGATTGCACAAAAACTAAGAAACTATATATTAAAAAAAAAAATCATAGAGGATGGGGCGGTTCTCTTACCGTCCCCGTCCTTTATGTTTTTATCATTTCATGTATTCGTGCAGTAGGTACAGTAGAGTGGCTGCGATTTTCGCTAGACTCCGTTTTTTTAGAAACCTTTGCACATATTGTAGTGCATGCAAGAACGTCAGAAATGCATTATCATGGAACTCCAAGAACAACTACAATGCAAAGTGTGCCGTAAAAAACAAACACCTCGTTTTATGCGCAGCCCCTCTTTTTACACGAGCTTGCGTTTAAGATTATTTCCAATTTTCATCGCTGGGGAGGGGAGTGGGTGGGGGGGGGGGGGGGGGGGGAGAGGGGGAGACAGGATTTCGGACACTAGTCCGAAATCCCTTCCCCCCTTCCCCCCCACCCTCTCCAAATGCAAGACCGAAATAAAGTGCCGCATATGTCAACGAAAAACAAACAAACAAACAAACAAACAAACAAACAAACAAACAAAAACAAAAATACCAAACACTAGCCGCTGACTCTGGAAAACAAAAAGCAAAACTTTTTTTTGTACTCTCCGTTTTACGTTAATTCCAACAGCAGTCGACGATGCAATCCAATGGAGCCAATCAACTGTCTTCAAAAGTGCATCATCACGGCGCTCGTCGTGTTTTGTGCGTTTGCAATTACCGGCTAAACCAATCACGCAGAGAAAGAAAAAAAAAAAGGCAGGATCACGCCGCATATTAACCGGCAGTGATTGGTTCGGCAGTTGATACCAAACGCACAAAGCCGACGAGCCTCGTGACTATACACTCTTCTTTGGCGCTGCTTGATTGGCTCCGTCGTAACGCAGACCCAGCCGCGGTCAGGTGTAACCAACTCAACTCACCGACGTCACGCCACTGCGGTGGCGCTGTCTGTCGGTAGTGCGCATGCGCAGACGCTTCAACTCCCCCCGAATTTAGTTTCTATGCACGCGCAGAGCTTACATGTGGCGTGGCCAAAGCGCGTTTGTTTGTAAATACTGTGTTGGTGTATATTTGCAAAATAACTCCCCCCCTCCCCCCGCCTTGTTTTTTTCCCTACAAGGAATTTGGGGTCATCGCGAATTCCCCAGCCTATTGAGCGTGTTCAGTCGATTCCCTTGAAAGTGTCGACAGGAGAACCAACCACTGCTCTTTCTGCGAAATGACCTTCGTGACTGACAAGGAATCGATAAAGCTGCACGAATTCACTGTTCAACTACTGCTCGTATCAGATTTTTTGGGTCAACGTTATCTGCACATCGTCCTTCGTGAGAGATATTTCTTTTGGTTGCAGCAGGTTGTAGTGATTGATTTTTTACACGTGCTGCCACAAGCGCGGTCCATTTGACCTTTTTTTCTTAAAGCCGCGTAGTTTCTCTTGCGTTGCAGTTTGTGCGTGACTTGTAATATGCTATGGGGCATGACTCGGCGAACCCTTCTACCGAAGAGTTTTCTACTCCGCAATATCAGTTGTAACACCGCCGGCCGGACGGACTAAGCTCCAGTTTCCACGGGATAAATAAATGCACCTAAATTACTCGCAGGTCATTTACAGAAAGCCCGAAGATGAGTTGTATATCATCCTTGGGCTTATGTCTGAACAGAGGCTAACAGCAGCCTTCGTCATGCTTAAAGGGGTACTCCACCGTTTTTTTCATTGTCTCCGATTTGCTTGAAATTTTGCTAAACTAACCAACAAACATTGCTAAAATAGTATCCCAAATATTAGGTCAAAATATTGTTTTTTCGCGAAGTTATTGAATTTACAGTTTTGGTCTTCACCATGATTTTCAAACTGAAAGTCTCTACTGGCAACAACAACAAAGTGACGTCAGTGGAAGGCAGGGGTTAACTTTTTGGACTACAGAAGTTGTTCCCAACGGATTTGAATCAGTTTCTTGGTGTCAAATGAGTGCTTTGGAAGCTCGCTCCCGTATCCGCGCTCCAGCACGGAACAAATGATTGGCATATTCTATTTTTAGACTACTTGCTCGACTGGCAAGCCTGTCTGCCACTGACGTCACGGCACTGAAAAGTGCGCGAATATTTGAATATCGGTTTTTGCACCATTTTCATTTGCCGATTTCACAATACCTATTATGAATTTCGCGATGCTAAATAGCATACCGGAAAGGCTAAAGGCCGGGGAGTCAGAAAATATAGTTAGTTGAGGTAGCTCAAAGAATCGGTGGAGTACCCCTTTAAAAGAAAAGAAAAAAAAAAGTTTTGTTTTAATGCGGTTTTTTTTCCCCTTTTTACTAAAAGAAAGGCGGAGTACCCATTGCTCTTCCTGAGGGTGCACTTCCGGATGAAAAGTGCCCTCCATGCCTCGGGAGTCGAAGATGCTCCGATTCGAGACGTTGGTCGGTCTGGTCTTAGGAGAGCCTGCGGACGAACCAGAAAGACAGACAATAAAACGAACAAATGAACGGGTCTGATGAAAACAGTGATGCGAAAACACTTCGAGGAGGCACCTTTACAACATCCTTGGTCTGCTTACTAACTAGACCCATATTTCGCGGTGTCCTCGAAATCAGAATTGAGAACTTTGTTAGGCAAACTTTCTTTAAATATTGCAGCGATATGATTGTGATATGGTATTGATGAAAACAAATAACCAAATATGCATCCGGAATTCCGGAAGTACCTTCCACTGTATACTCTGTTTCGCCACAAGATGTACTGCATGGAAGGCTACAAAGACCAGCTCTTTGTCGAAGGACACACCTCGGTTCCACGAACTCTCGCGCAGCAGGAGCAACTGCCAAAGCTACAAGCTCGGGCTTGTACGATATATACAACTAGAGACGGTTTTAGCCCTCTGCCTTTCTTTTTTCTTTTTTTTTGCATTTAATTTCCTGGTCTTGTTTTGTAAATATCCACATCCCTTCAAGCATACCTTGATTTGGTACTGAATAATAGGCTTAATTTGAGCTAGTTGGTAGATGTCAATACAAGGAAGTCAACTTGAACATTAGACAATTTCCGATCGAAAATACCGTCAGAAAGATTTGATGGTCCATCAAACTTTCCTGATGGCCCATCAGGCCTTTTTGATGGCCAATCACACCTTCTTGACGGCTTATCACACTTCCTTGACGGCCAGAATACCTTCTTGATGGCTCAACAGACCTTTTCGATGGCCCATCAGACTTTTTTGATGGTCCTACAGGCTTTCTTGACGGTGTTTGATGGTGGACGTTTTCTGGTGGCGGCTGACGGACCATCGAAAAGTTTTGATATTGCCCGAGTGAGACCACCAGGATATCTCGATAAACATCTCGATAGACAATCCGAACGTCGAAAAAGGCTGATGGTGCTTCTCATGACATCTTTCGGTGGTAGGAAGAACCGAACCATCTTCGGGACGTCCCAGCAGTAACGGGGGGGGGGGGGGGGGGGGGGGAGAGAGAGAAGTATGTTACGTTGTCACACATGCGTGAATTACATCCGGTGTGGAAAGCTGACAGCGGTATGGCTCGATAACGGGGTGTCCTATCAGTAAATAATCAAACTCAAAAATTGTCCTGGGGTACTCAAAATGTCCAGAAGATATATATACCTATAGACTCGGGTATGTTTTTGCAACCTTAGCTTTGTTTTAAATGGTGTTATAGTCTGTTGGTCAAACGATTTGTTAATCCGCTTTGTATGTCCAGTAGATAATGTTTACGACCCAAGCAACAAAAAATGTAAAAAAAAAAATGACGCACTCTGCTTGATCGGAAATTTATTTACTATATATGGGAGAGAAGAAACGTTTACAAAGCTGCGAATGCGGTAAGACGAGGCCTACCGAATTTTCGACCCGACGAGGCTTAGTGTATTGCACACTGTCGCATGACGCCGTCATGCTTAGCATGGTTGCATGGTCGATGGGGACAAAGTGTAGATTGCCATGCAACAGACACCACTAAAATTGCACGTTGTGGAGACTTGAAAGTAGCGAGTGAATTCAGCGCATTTTCTTTTCAGTTTTGTTTTTGCAGTTTCATAATTCAGCCTTCAATAATTTCTAAAAAGGAATATTAACATGCCATAACCAAAATACATGCCTTGCACGTGACGTCACACGGCACCGTACCAGCCGCCATTGATCCCTGTTATGCTCCTGTGCCCGTAGCAATTCTGCAGCATACTTTTCGCACCATTGAATTAGTCCTTCTCGGCAAAGCTTGCCGAGAAGAACCGGAAATAACAAATTCACTGGTGCGAAATGTATTCTGCTGGAGGTACGGGCACTGGAGCGTGGTACGCAGCAATGGCGGCTGATGTGACGTCAATGCAAGCTATGTATAAAAACTTTGCTTTGAGTTTTCAACGCTCATTTGGAAGGTATCCTAACGTTTCGGATGTTCATTTTTGATAATGATGAGCTTAAAACAAAGTTCATTTTTGTCTGTAATTCAATCTTTGCATTCTGCCGGTACGTATGTGTTGATAAAAATTCATACAGACCATTATACCAACAGACCATGGAACCATTAGGCCGTGAGACGTACCAAAATATGACAGATCATCAGACAATGAAATCATCGCGCCATCAAACCAAAACACCATTAAACCATCATGCCCTCAAACCACCACATCGTCAATGTCCCAAAATACGACAGATCATCAGCCTGGTTGTCCATCAGAAATTTTCTGATGATCCTTTTCGATAGGGTAAACACAGAAAGTGGAAAGGAACATACACACCGCTGACAATCAAATGCGACTTTAATACTTCTTCATCTTTATTCATATCCGTTAACTCTCTTTTTCATACTTTTCCATTTCATTGCATAGATATACAGGGTGATATATTTTAAAGGAAACATAAGCGAAAGCTCGCGCTGCAAATCCCAGGGATCCTGGGTTTAATCCCCATTCCTGCCCGTTTGGATCTGGATGAGCATCGTACCGGCGTGCGGTCGTGTATCACTATTGCGTGATGCACGTTAAACATCCCAGGCTAGCGGTTGTACTGCACTGGCTAAATTTCTCATCTACAGCTGAGGGACAAGACGCCCGTTGAGGCAGACTAATACCCCATTCACACGGGCAGCATAAAGGTACCTTTAACACAGGTCCCTTTGCAATCGGCGAATCACTTGGATTGCGAGCACACGCCACGCGCGAAGGATCGTGAATTGAATCGCCGCAGAGAATAAAGTTCCCTTAGCTAAAGGTACCTCTATCATCGTGTGATTGGGGTATACGTTCAGGCTGTATAAACATAGATACATCACCAAAAAGAAACATGATTAAAAAAGAAAGAGTGCAAACTGCTAGCTGAGTGCCGTCTTTGCTAGGTGTTTCTTAAGTTCGGCGGACATTACCTGAAGGAATGATCATCAAGTTAAATGGACACTGACAGGGTACTTACGTTCACCAAGGTATAGGAAAGCCCAGCTACCCAAAACACAGTTTGCGGCTCAAAATTTGATTTTTTTCTTCCCGAAAACCGCCGATCAAAAACTGGTCGACTTGAGTCGCGCTCACTCTTTTCGTGCTCTTTTCTCCGTGGTCACGTGCCGTTCAGACACAACCACCAAATATAATCAAAGTCGCGGGTCATCGAAGGCACACTCTCAATATTAAATATAGAAAAAAGAATGAAACCTAGTTTTTGTGCCTTCTAACAAACTGTAAATACGTTGAGTGAAAAAAAAAAAGTTTCTCAGAGTACCGGAAGCGCATGCACTGGGTAATTCTCAACATGGCGTCGTATCGCGGGAGCCGCGTGCTGGACGGCTGGACGAAGCGCACTAAGCGGTGGCGGCGGACGACAGGCGTGGGACCTCAATTTCACAACTGCCGTTTAAGGTACCGGCGAATCTGTCTAGCTTCGAAAGAAATTTTTTAACAATCAAAAGAATAGACCGATCTCACCAAGCGTTCGGCGCACGCGTGAGGCCGCCATAACTTCAGTTCACAAAAGGCAGGCGGCAGCGCTCGAGACGGCTCGTGCTCTCAACTCGCAGAGCTCCAGCGGGGTTGGGGCACGTGCAGAAAGATTTACACTTTCTAGATGGGCACCGCGGCAGCGGTGGCGTAGCCAAACTGGCTGGTGAGATCGGTCTATTCAGATGTATTTTGTGCGACACGCCCGTCCACCAAGCTGATTCGCACGAAGACGTCGTCGACTCGTCGTCCCTTCTCCTGGCTGAAGACATCGCTCGTCTTACGAACACGAACCTACCTATCCGCGAATATGGGGCGCCCCCAAAGTTTGCTTGACGCATTGTGACGTTCCGATATACGGCACGTGAGATTATCCAGGTATAGAAGAAGTTGACGTTGGTTTAGCATTTTATGATCTGAGAACGCAGAGAAGGCACAAAAGCCAAACCGAGTATGTGACCACCTCCTGTTGTATTAGCTTTATTTTTTGTGCGTTCTGAGCTCCCATTGACATAAAAGAATGAATCGTGCCGCTTTCAGGATACGAGGTGTTACAGTCGACACGAGCGTACATCTGAACAGCCCCACAACTCCCCTCGCAGCGACGTCTCATGAGATTTTCCGGAAAGGCCCATTGTTAAGTACTTGAAACCAGTGTTGGCCTTCTTTGATGACCCCATCTCTATCAGCACTCCGGATTGGTTATCTAGGAGGTGTTGGCCGCGAGCCCTACCAACAAGGACGCTTGGTAGAGAAGTAGTCACTCTTCGGAGTGTCATTGGCAAGGCACTTACGCAGCAAGCGCAAAAGCTAGCGGTGCAGAAATGCGGATTATTAGCTTATCATTCGCGTCTCCCCACCGCTAGCTTGGCGCCTACTGCACGAGGGGTAACTTGTGCGAGCCCCCGCGTTCCCCACGTGTTTCAAGTCCAAAAATTAAGAAGTTAATTAAGACATTTTAGTTTATTATTCGACTTATTGTAAAGTTATCCGTTTATATAATGCCCCTGGCCGTATACTTCACCTGCACAAACCACATTACTGTACCTTTTACGGATTTTTTGCAACATTTCTTATTTTGTTTTGTATCTTACTAAAAATACTTGATTTAGTGGTTTCCGATGACGCTTAGCAAGCTTCGCAGTAAACCACATGTTTATTTTTTTCGAATTAGAAATGAATGAGTAAACATTAGTTAACTATCTTGCCAATTAGTATGTTTCTCAAATCCTTGATGTTTCTAAAATTCCTAATCATGTCGTATTACACCCGAGACTGCGGTGGAAGAAATCGGAAGAGCTTTCAGTAGAAGGAACAGACACAGAGAACGTCTCAAACTCAGTAATACGACATGATTAGCTACCACCAGCTCGCCTGCACACTCACCGTCTTTTCACTAAAATTCCTGTTCACGCAAAGAGTCTTTTTCTTTTTTTTATCTCGAACGCAGATTTTTAGGGATTTTTGAAAGCTTTCGCAGAAACACCTTGTATATTTAT